CATAAAGACCCCCCCCATGTATATCAAAATTAGAGACATTGGAAAAGGATAGATTATGTGTTGGTTGAAGAATAATGAACCTTCTGAAAAGGACTTCTCAAATCAATCACATTTAGAATTTTTATCTTCCTTTTTCAATGTCTAACTTTCAGAGATGTTTCTGTGCATGACTAATCCAAACTTATATTTGAAATGGTTTGAATGATTATTTTCAGCATGGACTAGGGGGATTTTCTAGAATTTACAAATGCCCTTTCAGAGAATATGTATGTATAAAAATGGATGTGGGTCCTTGGGTCAAAGACATTGTTCTGCAAATATAACTTGACTTAAGGTGGGGTTTTCTCCCCCACCCCCCACTGAATGTTTTATATCCTTGATCTCTTCTGGCAGGAGGGATTTCATTATGGGTAATTGTCCCAGTTTGGTTTTATCCGTCATAACATCCTTCCTGCCCTTCCCTCCCCTCATCACATTCATAGTCATTCATAAGTATAAATACTCAGGGCCACAGCTTCCATATCTTCCCGTATCACAATCTTCTTTGCCTGTCTTTGCTAACAGGCCTAGGGGATTATGGAAAGACACAATTAAAAGATACAAAAAAAGTTATCCCACTCACTATGTTCACATGCATATACATTAAAATGCTAATATGCCCCATTAATACCTATCATAGGGCATCAGCAATTGAGGAATTGGAAGCCCTTGGACTTTGCTCTTCCATGGAGACAAAAATGGACAAAATAACCTTTTAGGGTGCTCCAGAAGCCAGATAGGAGAACACAGCACACCCAGCAAGTACAAATGCAGAAGGGCCACATCAAAGAGACAAGGGAAGTTTGTGACACTTGCCCACTGCAGTAGCTCACCCTCCCTGACACTCCATGGCAACACTGTGAGAAAACTCTTCCAAATAAGTGACCTGTGTATTCAATGATCAGACTTCTTAGCAGCTGCCTGAGGAACTTGTTTCTGTCGTTAATGACATGGAGAAAAGAGGGAATGAGAGTACCCTTTGGAAGCAGTGTGGTAGCTACTCAGACAAAGGGTGAGTATTTGTTCAAACAATGGACAGATAATAAAGCTGAGGGGACACAAAGAGAGGAAGGTATCACGGGCTGTAAAGAAGTAACTGCACTTTTGTAACCTGGGAAATTACAAAAACTTAGACATGACAAATGCCCAGAATATGTGTGACACATGCCATAATTACTATTATCTGTGTTCTTTTCTACAAAGCAAGTCCATAAAACTGGGCCCAGAGGCTTTCTTTTTTTTTTAATTCCGAAATGTCAATAAAAGATCACAAGCGAACAAAAGAAATAGAAAAATGTGTTCCAATCACAAGAACAAAATAAATCCCACAAACTGACCCTCAATTAATAAAGCACTCTTACTTGCATGACAAAGAATTCATCATCATAAAGACGTGCATGGAGAAAGGAAGAGAAAACAGATATGTAACTAAATGATATCAGAAAACTGGGCATGACCAAAATGTAAACCCAAAGAGACAAAGTATAACAATCAACCAACCAGGAATTGGGAGCTGAAGAATACAATGACTGAATTTAAAAACACACGAATGGGTCACCCACAGACTTGCTCAAGCAGAAGAAAGAGTCAGACAATCTAAAGACCCCTTGTTTTAAACTGTCTGCTAAGAAGATGAAAGAAAAATGTGGAAAAGGACACGGTCTGGGGACTCATGGGACACCAATAAGTGGACCGAAATGTACACTAAGGGGACATCATAAGGAGGGGAGAGTGAAAGGGGGCAGAGGGTTGACATGAAGAACTAAAGGCTTCTACTTCACACATATGTGGAAAGAAGAGACAAATTCAACAATATCAGTAAATTCATAGTAGGATAAATGTCAAGACATGAACACAGTCACACATTATAATTAACCTATCAAAAATCAGAGGTGAGGGGCACCTGGGTGGCTCAGTCGGTTAAGCGTCTGCCTTCGGCTCAGGTCATGATCCTGGAGTCCCGGGATCGAGTCCCGCATCGGGCTCCCTGCTCAGCCGGGGGTCTGCTTCTCCCTCTGACCCTCACCCCTCTCATGCTCTCTCTCTCATTCTTTCTCTCAAATAAATAAATAAAATCTTTAAAAAAAAAAAATCTGTAAAAAATAAAATAAAATACCTTTAAGATGTTTTAAGGAATCTCTAAGGTAACCAGAATGAAAATACATAGAGAAGACAGAAAAGTTAAAGAGAATGGTGTCTAAGCGTATCATGGGTATAACTCCACAATTAAGATAAAATAGAATACCTATACAAGATACAGAGGCGTAAAAAATTTAAAAATTACTTTCGATTCACCAAAAGTGCTTCTCATGCAAAGAGAATATAAATTCAACAATAAATAGATGTTGAAATTAATGCTAGCAACTCACCGAGGCATGATAGAACATTCACAACCACTAAGGAAAGAAATACACAAAATGAGTTACAAACCGTGTATGGGTAATATTTATATAGACACATACATAATGTTATTGGCAAAGGGCATAAATCTGATTCATATTTGAGTCACACATTGTTCAAAAGTGTACTGTGTTGAAAATTGTCATCCTATAACAAAATACATAGGTAAAAACCAAACCACAATTAACTAATGTTGTGGAAGGTCCCATACAAAAGGAAGCACATTATTATGGAATTGCAAAATCAGAATAAGCCAAAATTTAACTGAAACAATTCCTCATAGTAAAATATGTGAATTATTTAGAAGGAAACCTTCTAGGGTGCCTGGGTGGCTCAGATGGTTAAGCGTCTGCCTTCGGCTCAGGTCATGATCTCGGGGTCCTGGGGTTGAGTCCCTCATCGGGCTCCTTGCTCCTTGGGAGCCTGCTTCTCCCTCTGCCCCTCTCTCTCTCTCTGTCTCTCATGAATAAATAAATAAAATCTTAAAAAAAAAGAAAAAATAAAAGGAAACCTTCTATAGAACTATAATTTTAAGCTCTGTGTATCCATGAAAACCAGGCATTTTCCATTTTGGCATATGTTCATTGACAGTAAAATTGTAAGGAATATTCATTAAAATCAACCATGAAGAGGTGTAATGAAAAATTTTTGAATAAGAACTTAAGAGACATCGGGCGCCTGGGTGGCTCAGTCGTTGAGCGTCTGCCTTCGGCTCAGGTCATGATCCCAGGGTCCTGGGATCGAGCCCCACATCGGGCTCCCTGCTCAGCGGGAGGCCTGCTTCTCCCTCTCCCACTCCCCCTGCTTGTGTTCCCTCTCTCACTATCCCTCTCTCTGTTAAAAAATAAATAAAATCTTTAAAAATAAATAAATAAAAAGATACTTTATTAAAAAAAAGAACTTAAGAGACATCAAAAAATGTATTCTGTTATTGATATATTCCTCTTCTTACACAGAATTCCAGGGTATAATCCATTCTTTTTTTTTTTTTTTTAAGATTTTATTTATTTATTTAACAGAGAGACAGTGAGAGAAGGAACACAAGCAAGGGGAGTGGGAGAGGGAGAAGCAGGCTTCCCGCTGAGCAGGGAGCCCGATGTGGGGCTCGATCCCAGGACCCTGAGATCATGACCTGAGCCGAAGGCAGACGCTTAACGACTGAGCCACCCAGGCACCCAGTATAATCCATTCTTTAGAACGAAGCAGAGAAGCAAAAAAACTTTCCTTTCTAAATAAACAAATGCCATCAAAGTTGTAAAATATGCTGACAATCATTTTATAAAAATAAATATTGGGGATTAAAACCAGATACATTCTGAGGAAAGTAGTAAAAAAAAAAACCTTATAATTAATTTTTCCTGAAGTAAAATTCCATTTATGAACAATATTTTTTCAATATGGGAATTTTACTATCTATACCACTTCTTATAAAGCACATGCCCATGTTGTATCAGAACTTTTGATCTAGGGCACCTGGGTGGCTCAGTTGGTTAAGCAACTGCCTTCGGCTCAGGTCATGATCCTGGAGTCACAGGATCGAGTCCCGCATCGGGCTCCCTGCTTGGCGGGGAGTCTGCTTCTCCCTCTGACCCTTCCCCCTCTCATGCTCTCTGTCTCTCATTCTCTCTCTCTCAAATAAATAAATAAATAAAAATTAAATTAAATTAAAAAAAAGAACTTTTGATCTAATAAATAAGAGATGAGTCTTATAGACAACTAATAAGAAAATGAAAACATATGACAAAGTCACAGGAACCTCATATTATATGAGACAAAATTATAAAATGATGCAATTACTAATAAGCTAAGAATTGAGACTTTATTGTAGGCTGTGGGCTCTAAAAGTTCTAAATCCCCTATAACATTAATTTATGTAGTAAATCTAGGAAACAAATAGAGACATTACATTATTTCACCACCAAGGAATGGAAAACATGGAGGGAAAATTTCTTCTAGTTAATACAAAGCAAATGAATGTTTAAGGTGAAATAAAGGATTTTATTTTCTCATTTTAGGGAAGTGTTTTGTTACCTGATGAAATTACTGAGTCTCAATTTTGTACGTTTAAGATTAAAGCCTCCATAACACTGGAAAGCATAAACCAGAAAACATGTGACATCTGTCTCCAGTGTTCCGGGGGTTTCTGCACCAATCCCCAGTATGCCCACCACAACTCTGGCACACTTTCTCACATGAAGCAAAACAGAACTTAGAAGAGGCTTAGCACAGAGACCCTCAGAAATAGGGAGATTTCTCTAAGGCCCTCAAAGCAATGGAAAATCTCTCAGACTATGGAGGCTCTCCCACTCCAAGGGGAGTCTCCAGGCCCCCCCTGTGGATGTGATGGACCGTCACTGGAGCTGAAGGAGACCCTTAGAGAATATAAAAGCATGATAATGTTGGCTAGCAGATGTCCCTCTGTGAGAGACAGTGACATGAAACTGGGCTCCTCCAACTGATTTTCATTCAAGGAGACCTACTTGAACCGCATCTTAAGGTCTGTCTTCACCATTCACATTTGGACCTCACCTCTGTCATCTGCTTCATTCATTCCCACCTACCTGGATGAAAGGCTACTGTCTTCTTTCTCTTCACATTCCAAGGGTCCTTCTTTTGCTCCAAAAAGGAGACCAAATCAGGCTTTGACACAATGAGACCTGGTTAATAGAAAAACGGAATATAACTATTGCTGGAGATTCTTTCAATCCACTATTGTGCTCAGTAGAGAACAGAGAACATTGCAGAATTCTAAAAGATGATTTCCCATCCCAGACGCTGCTGACCAACAGCCCCTTCAGAACATGCAGGAGTTTCAAATATTCACATCCTAACTTGCACTTCCAAGTACTACCGATACAATGGTAAGGACGAAAAATTGGAGTTTAAATGCGGGCAGCACCATTTTATGCCCCTCCGGGTTTAGCACTGCCACTAATCTACAGAAATGATGTTACCTTAAGGAAGGGGAAGCTAAAGCTGAAATGCAAATATCAGGGATTTTTGTCTACATCTACAAACCCTTACTTTTGTTCCTTAGTGCAGTGATCTGAATTCCAGTTGTGCAAAGAATCATCATCCAAGAGACAGTCTTCAAAGGAAGGAACAAAACCCTGAGTGTGGTCTGGGAAATCTGGAAGGAGTTATTCTCACCCAGGAAGAGGAGGTGTCCGTAGTTCTCTAACATCACATCCCTGTACAATTCCCGCTGAGTGTGGTTCAGGCATCCCCACTCCTCCTGGGAGAATTCGATGGCCACATCCCTGAATGTCAGCAGTCCCTGCAATAAATACGACAGTTACCAAGTGGCCACTGGCAGAGTTCACAATGGTCCCTAAGATGAAAGAGGGTGTTAATGTCACCAGCTAGACTCCCCAACACCTGGCCTTCACTGCCTGATTGTACCCACCAAACTGTATTACACATTTGACTTAACCTCTTCTTTTCACCTTATCCTTACTTTAGCCAAAACACCCCACTGGCAGAGTCTCCTGTGGTGAAAGCAGAAACTATCCAATAAAAGGTAATGACTGCCCAGGGGACGTGCTTGGGCTGGCCCAGTTTGAGGCAGAGGGACCAAGGTGTAACCCATGGAGTGGTCTACAGTTACCTTTACCTCATTATAATACTAAAATTCTCCACCCACGGAGAATCACAAACCTCATTTACCTAATGTACAAAGGGAATCGGGTTTTAACCCAGTTATTGGTCCCAGAGTTGATTGAAAAGGACACACAGGTCAATATAGAGAGAGGACTCTAAACCGATGTTCATAGCAGGTGTCAAACATGACAAGAATGACGGAAACAAAAAGGTTATCCATGCAAAATTGATCTTTTTACATTTCATGCACCCATCCAGACATTTAGGAAGTAGTTATATACACATTAAAAGTGACAGAGTAGAAAATTGTCATGGTGATTAATTCAAGAACCATTTTCCATGACATGACACTTATAAATCACTTTGTGGATGATGATGCTTCTTTTATTCACACTATCAACACAAACACATAGAATGATACAGATAAAACAGCTGTTATTTATGAGTCTAGTATGATGAGGGATACAAGCAGAAAAATGTTTACCTTTAAATCAGAAGGCTGGGGACACCTGGGGCTCAGTCCATTGGGTGTCTGCCTTTGGCTCAGGTCATGATCCCAGGTTCCTGGAATCGAGTCCCTCATCGGGCTCCTTGCTCAGTGGGGAGCCTGCTTCTCCCCCTGCCTGTGTTCTCTCTCTTTCTCTCTGACAAATAAATAAATAAAATCTTTAAAAAATAAAAAATAAATCAGAAGGCTGACCCATAGGCTGCATAGCTCTGCTAAGAATCAAATATATACTACTTGCTACATTCTTAAAGGTTCTCTCGACTGCCTGTTTATCTCACCAATGTTAATATTGAACTGAAAGATAGCAGAGCAATCTTGCAGAAGTAGTTTTACAAGTACAAAATCAAAGCAACATTTCTGATCTAATACTCTGGGCACCTACCCTCCCCCTAGAACACTAAGCATGTAACCACGAGCTTCACGCAGCCAATGTGCAACTCTTTCTGCCCATGGATCCTGTCCCTGTGCTACTTCAATAAACCTACTATCTGGCACCATACAACATCTCAAGAATTCTTTCTTGACCATCATGCTCAAAGATTCCACAACATAGTATTTCATTGAACGCTTTTGTTTCAATCATCATCTGCGATATATTTCAGGATTTTAAGACACTCAAACATGTTAATTATATGATTCTTGTTTTCTTCTGAAATACAAAGGAGGAAATAGGGCGCCTGGGTGGCACAGTGGGTTAAACATCTTCCTCTTGATTTTGGCTCAGGTCATGGTCTCAGGGTCCTGGGATCACTCAGCACAGTCTGCTTGAAATTCTTTCCCTCCCCCTCTACCCTGGATCATCCATCCCTCTCTCTCACACACACACTATTTCTCTCACTCTCTAAAAGAAATAAATAAAATCTTTTTTTTTTTTTTAAATAAAGAGTATGTCTATGACATGAATGTGGAATAAAGTAAAAACTCACAGGATGGAGGTCTGACTGATTTAGATCCTCCACTCCCAGAAGTCAATACTATCAACTACACGAAGGTGAAAGTCTTCATTTCTGCAGTGGAAACTGATGTGAGGTGGGTTGGGAGCAAATAGTCAAGAAAGTATTCTTGAGGGGCGCCTGGGTGGCTCAGATGGTTAAGCGTCTGCCTTTGGCTCAGGTCAAGGTCCCAGGGTCCTGGGATCAAGCCCCACATCCGGCTCCCTGCTCCGCAGGAAGCCTGTTCTCCCTCTCCCACTCCCCCTGCTTGTGTTCCCTCTCTCGCTGTGTCTCTCTCTGTCAAAAATAAATAAATAAAATCTTAAAAAAAAAAAAGTATTCTTGAGACATTTTTGGTGAAAAAAAAATCTGTTTTTATTTAAACCTCAGGGACAGGACCTGTTGGCAGAAAGAGCTGCAGTGTGATTTTGGGAAGGTACTGATTATATGCTTTTCAGTTAGGGGGGATAGAGATAAAAGAAGTTTCTAAAGGGGTTTTCATACGTTGAAGAGGACTTACAGGATCCTGGAGGTCTGGCTATTGTCAAACTAAGGTTCCTTTTGCCTCTAGCAAAGCATTACACTAAGGCACTTGTGAATTCCTTGAGGAAAGTCATACTTTGCATGTCTCAAGTATTTATCTGTGGGCTGCAAGTTGTAAGGACATTTCATTTTTCTCTAAATTTTTTTTTTTTTGCTTTGTTCTCCTGATCAGAAACTACAAGCAAAGAAAAACTCAGAAGAAAGAAGATTCCAGGTGAAATGTGATGGTTTCTGCACATCACTCAGTAAATCCATCCAAGACCCTTATGAATATAAGAAGGAAAATATGAGCATTACAGGGGAGCTATCTGGCTATTAAGCCATTAAAAGAAGTTAACATCAGCTGTAATGAAACAAGTTACCAGTGCTTAACGCACACTGAAGGACCTATTACTATTGGTGTTGAGTAAGGGACAGGTGGGGCTAGGTAGGGATTGATAGGTAGGGGGCTAAGTGACCAGGCTCACGAAAAATCCCAGGAATGAGGAGGCATAAGGAAACCAGAGATAAGGGAACAGAACCAGACCACCTTGTTTGTTTTAAACATCAGAGATGAGATATTCAAAGGAGACGTAATCCTGGTGCTTTCCTTGGTGACATCAAGAAGATTTAAGTTCCCTGGGCAGTTTTCGATAAAAGACCAGCCATAAAAGCGCTCTGTGGCAACCCATTCGGGACCCCCTCACTCTAGAAAGCTTGCTTTCTGTTCTCACCCTCACTTGCTAAACTACCACTTTACCCTCTTGTGTCTGAGATTCATTCTTCCGTTCCGCCAGTCAAGAACCCTGCAACAGTGTGTTCTTTTTTTTTTTTTAATTTCTATTCATTTATTTGAGAGAGAGAGAACGAGAGAGAGCACATGAGAGGGGGGAGGGTCAGAGGGAGAAGCAGACTCCCCGCTGAGCAGGGAGCCCGATGCGGGACTCGATCCAGGGACTCCAGGATCATGACCTGAGCCGAAGGCAGTCGCTTAACCGACTGAGCCACCCAGGCGCCCAACAGTGTGTTCTTTGTAGAGGCCACTTTTAGGCAAACAGGCTTGAGCGCTGGAATGGGGAAAGGGCCGGTGACTATCTGCCTGAACACGGACAGGCCCATCAGGCCACCCACCCCGAAATATCCATCGGCCCTAACTAACCAATGGGCTACTTACAACCGGGTTCAGTTCCCCAAATAGGAAAGATTCCATCTGTCCCCGTACCTCCTCATCTTCCCCCTTTAAAAATAGGCCCCACCCACTAACTTCTTGCAGACAGCCTCTCTTCTACTGTCCTGTCCCCACTCCCTTGCTGTGTATTCAATGAACTTCTAGCTCCTTTGTTCTGCCTCAGGCATATTCTCTTACTTCTGCAACCGGCCCACACCGGATCATCACCCTACATTTGAGGGCCCCCATCCGATCAAGAGATGCCACATTCTTGTAGCCCCTAAACAGTAAATCAGAATGTCAATTAACTTAGGAGAATACAGTTGATTTACGCAAACTTCAATCACCTATACTTTCCCTGTCCTGTGATATCTAGGATATTTTAGATACAGTACCTTTCCCACAGTCTAAAGGGTATAATCCTGGCCCTTTTTTTTTTTCAGAGAATATTCCAAGTTATTTTGGGCCTCATATCCACTGTGTTTATTTGTGCATTTTCTTACTCCTAGTCTACATAGAGCTGATAAAGCTTCCAGATGGGACCTAAATAAGACCATCCACCTTCACTGATATCGCAGGACCAGACCCTTTTCAGCAATACGAATCTTTAACTCCACACCTTCCCCGTGGATCTGTCACCAAGGGAGTCTTTTCAATACTGGTGGGCAGGTCTTTCATTCATTGTAACAACTGTTGATGGCCTACTGGAAGCCAGGTTGGAGAGAAGGGATAGAAGGCTCTGGCTTATAGAGAAGAAGTGTTCTAAAGACCTAATCTTGAGTATCATTTCTGAAAAGGTTTAAAAATTAGGTGTAAACATGGGCGCCTGGGTGGCTCAGTTGGTTGGGCGACTGCCTTCGGCTCGGGTCATGATCCCAGGGTCCTGGGATCGAGTCCCACGTCGGGCTCCCGGCTCAGCGGGGAGCCTGCTTCTCCCTCTGGCCCTCTCCTCTCTCATGCTGTTTCTCGCTCGCTCGCTCTCTAATAAATAAAAAAAAAAATTAGGTGTAAACATAAAGCAGAAACATCAGAACTAGAAAAATCCGTATTTGCAATTTCTAAATGTGAGGAATTTCAGGAGAAAAAGATGACAGGGCCTCTGAACTCAGGCGCAAAGCTTACCTGAGAACTGGCCATTTCTTCTTTCACTTCCTCCTTTGGAGTTCTTCAGAAGAGAGTCCAGGAGAAATCACAGCTGCATCGGGAGAAAATGCTTTTAAAGCCACCAACAGAGCCTCTTCACCTGTAAACTGCTCACCTGCAGGCAGGATTTTGAAATGCAGAAAAGTTCCAATTTCCTAGCCTTTTGTGTCAGGAGCTATTCAGAAACAATGAATTCCTCCTTGGAGACCAATCTTCGAATTTTTCCTTCTCTGCTTTCAGGGCGCCTCCCCAACCAGACACACACAACTTCTGCTGGAGCAGAAAGAAAGAAGAAAAGTGTGACGCATGGACCTGAAGCTTCCAGATTCACGTACAGGAGACCATGTTACTCCTCCCTGAGCCAAAGCCTACACTCAGCTGTCTTCTATTCATGGGAAGCCCTCCAATTAACCCTGGCTGCACCTAGAATCGCCTGGAGCATTTAATTCAAACAACACTGTTGTTCCCACCCACACGGCTTGACAGAATCTGGGCTGGGGGGCACCGGATATGATCCTTTCTTAAAACTCACACATGATCCTATTGGGAAGCATTTGGGGAGGTGACCAGGCAAAAAGCAATAATCGAGGCCATGTTTGATATTCCGATTTAATCCATGCCTTGTCCACTGATCAGAGTTTCTGGAGATTTACACTTTCTCCCTCTTTCTGCTACACGGAGGGAGACAGTCTTACAAATGGAGTTTTCCCCTGGAAATGCCAATGTCTCTTACAAAATAACCAGACTAGGTTTCAGAGCTTTTTCTTTGCTGTTTCCTTTTTTTTTTTTTAAGTTTTTATTTACTTATTTGAGAGAGAGAGAAAACACAAGGAGGGGGAGTAGCAGAGGGAGAGGGAGAAGCTGACTCCCCACTGAGCATGGAACCCATTGCGGGTTCGGTCCTGAGCCAAAGACAGGCGCTTAAGCGACTGACCCACCCAGGCACTCCTGTCTGCTCTTTCTCTCAAATACCCAGCCTAGGGGCGCCTGGGTGGCTCAGCGGGTTGGGCGGCTGCCTTGGGCTCAGGTCATGATCCCGGAGTCCCCGGATTGAGTCCCGCGTCGGGCTCCCTGTTCAGTGGGGAGTCTGCTGCTTCCTCTGACGCTCTCCCTTCTCATGTTCTCTCTCACTCTCTCTCTCTCAAATAAATAAAATCTTTAAAGGAAAAAAAAAAAAACCCAGCCTAAAATAATCCTTATGCTAAAGAGACATATTTTGGGGTGACAAAATGTGCTCCTTCAGTAGGTAAATATTTTTTTCTTTTTTATTTATTTATTTATTTATTTATTTTGACAGAGAGAGACACAGCGAGAGAGGGCACACAAGCAGGGGGAGTGGGAGAGGGA